CAGCGACTTCCAATTCCTCAAGCCCATCGTGCCCAGCCTGCCGCCACAGCGCTGCGCCACGGCCCGGGGCCCCGATGAGGAACAGGATCACGATTTCCCCTGTGTCCCTGTCAGCACAGAGGACACGGCGCCAGACAATGCTGCGACTGTCTCTGCGGGACACTTCAACGCTCTTTCCTTTAACTAGCACAGGGTATGAACAGACAGAGGCTTCAATGCTCTTTAGAGGAGGGGATCCCGGCTGCAGCATTGTTAAAATTTTCCTCCAGAGTATATATCTATTTGCAGTTTGTTTAACCAACTGACTGTAAATTCTAAGACAGAATAAAATTGTCTTCCTCTCCAAAATCAGAAACAAAAGAAACTGAGGTTCTCTCACCTGAGGTATGTTCCTGCTTTGTTATTTCTGATTATGTTTAAGAATGTGGTTAGCTCTCCTGCTATGCCCGTCTCTCTTGCTGTCCAATAAATAGTAGAGCTTTTCTTGTATCCTGTGACATAAAGGCACAGTTTAGCAGACAGATCTCCTTTAAAAATGTACAAAACCCCTTTTCCCAGCTTCTGAAACAAAGAAATTGAGAGTACAATGTCTCTATGTCGTGTGAGGACTGCCTCTTTCTTCCCTGAGTTCTGAATGCCTCTGTCTGACATGCGTGACCTCTGTGTGCTTTGATTTACTGTCACTCAATACAGCCACTGTGTGTCTACATATTTTTCACTAGTTCTGCCCAGTTAATGGTGGAGTTGCTCCCTTCCAACCTTTGCAATGCAGGCAATTGCAGGTAGCAAGAAGAGTATTCTGACCCTCTGAGTACAGGAGTCTCATCCTCTCCACGGCAGAGAAGAGCAGTAAATTGTACAAGATATTCTTTTGCCCTATAAAGCAGTTCTTGGTGTTCTGTCTTCTTCAAATACAGAAATACAACAGCACAAGTGGTGTTTGGTTTTCTATAACTGTATAAAGTTTTGAAAACATGTTCATTTCCTTTGGCTTTATTTCATGAAACCTCCGTAAGTCATTCAAGAGAGCATTTTCTGAAGGGTAGAATCAACACGAAAAGGTAAAAAAGAGATTGATACTGGTCTTGTTATTGTTCCTATATACAGTGATTTCTTGTTGGGAATAGAAAGCTGCCCCCACGTGATTTTCTCCATCTCTGTTAGTGCATTTGCGTTCCCATTTTGCTCTTTCTCCAGCTACTCTCTGAACTGAGTTTGAGCAATTTTCCTTTTCTGCTTAGGGACTGCCATCCCACATATAATAACTGATTACTTGAATGATGTCTGTGATGCACGGAATATTCAGAAAACCTCATGCTGTGTTTTGTTGAAGTTATAAAGTTTAACATTACAAACTTGGATACCCCTGAGTGTAAAACTGAAATAAAGAGAACACCCGAATGCCTTGTGTGGAGACGGTGCTTGTGTTTTCTTTTGCCTAAGTAGTGGGTGAGTGGGCACATTTCTCCAGTTTCAAAGTGAAGCTGAAACAGCATTCAGGAAAATTGGGAGGACAATGGAATCACTATCAGGCCTCTATTTTTCTTTCGAGCACTGACCTGGCTGAGATGAAGCCCAGTAATAGGCAGACCAGGGGAAATTGGGCCCTATCTCAACGGAGGCCCTAGGTGTGCTTTGCCTCTGTAAAGCTGTGATGTAGGGGAGTGATCTCAAATCTGACAGCTGCACCCACTGAAGACAATTACGAGGTGTTTGAAACACTTCAGGTGTAGTAACTCTGGAAAAGAATGGCACAAAAACAGGAAGTACTGCCCTTGGGAAGTATTTTTAGGGAGTGCCTGGAGGTGGGAATTTGGTGAGTGAAGACTGCTATCAGGGAGAAGCTTTGGTATCCTGAAATGCAGAAGATTACAGCAGCACTACTTCTACAAGGCCCAGATGAAAAGGTAAGTCCTGGGGAGGGAATGCTGTGTGATGCTGACCAGAAGACTGATGAACATCAAGCATAATCAAGTTAATCTGGGAAGACACAGGCCTCTGCTGTGCTGTGTTCTGCTCCACAAATATGTTGGTGGAGGGTTAGATTAACTTCATTTTAATCAAGGAACTTACAGGTAGGTTCCCCCTTCCCACTGGTGAAAAAGCCACCTGCGAGCAAGAAGTCTGCATGCAAACTTGTTTTACTGGAACCCTAAAAATTACGAATAAAACTGATTTACTGTGTGAAAGCCCTGTAATGTTTTGACTGAGTGGAACAGGGGCACTCTTCCTTTCCTGGGACCAGGATCTGCTTGGCATTCTGCGTGTGGCTGGATTCCCTTGTGAAGTTACTTTTACCACATGTTCTCCACTCCTAAAGGGACATAGGATTATCTGTGCCAATCTCTTCCACTAGGGTGTGTTATAAAAGAGAGTTGATGTGTCTCTCTTACTGAGATCACTAGGGATCATCACCTGCTGTTGTTAAACTTCTGGGGTTTGGGTCATTCCAGTTGAGGCTTCAAGTGTCTGAGGCAGCTCATAAACAGATGGTTTATTATGGCTTTTACCCTGTGAGAGGGGGAGGCAGTGTCCTATCTTAGAATGCCTGAACACATTGCTAAGCTCTCCTAAGAGGCTCACTGGAGGTGCCCTTTAGGAAGGATTAAGTCCTTAGTCCAGCTCTTACCAGGGGAAATGCTTTACTGGACCTGCTGGTCATCAACACAGATGAGCTAATCAGAAACATCAAGCTTGGTGGCAGCCTGGGCTGCCGTGATCATTCACTCACTGATCAGGTTCACAGTCCTGAGGGATATGGATCAGGCAAAGAGTAAAGTCAGGACGGTGAGTTATAGGAAAGCAAACTTCCAGTTCTTAAAGGATTTAGTCAATGGGGCCCCTCAGGGGAAGGTGCCCGGAGGGACAAGGCAGCAGAACAGACCTTGTCGGATGCTTTCATGCAGGAAATCAGGAAAAGAAGGGAACAGACCAGCATGGCTGAGAACTGGTCAAACAAAGGGGCAGGAAAGAAATGTGCAGCAATGGGATCAAGGACAGGTGTCCTGGGAAGAGTATAGGGATGTTGGCTGGTTGTGTTGGGATAGGGTCAGGTCGCCCAAGACATGCTGGAGATGAACTCTACAAGGAATGCAAAGAATCGCAAGAACTGCTTCTACAGGTAAGTCAGACTGAAGATGAAGGTTAAAAAAAACCCTCAATGTCTCCTCATGAGCACAACTGACAAACTGATAAAAAACAGACCACGAGAAGGCTGAGGTGCTTAGCCGTATCTCTGCCTCAGTCATCACTGACAAGACCTCTTCCCACAACTATCAAGTGGATGGAGCTCAAGGCAGAACTGGGGGAAAAAAAGTCCCTCCCAGTGTAAGAGATAAGGTTCGAGACCACCTGAGGAACTTGAACACCGAAAAGTCGGCTGCTGGCTTGTGCGATCACATGGAGTTTGTAAATCGTAAAATTGTAAAATGTTAAGATATATTGGCAGAAAAGGTGGGGGGAATAAAAAGGTCATCCAACCATGACTGCTGAAAAAAACTGGGCAATTAGTGAGGGAAATTGTGGTTTTGAACTAAGGGACTATGACTAGTAATAGAACTTTGCATCTATTTTGCATCACCATTGCAAAAACATTTTCCTGTGCGATAGAAACAGCACAAGGAAGCCTCTTCCTTCTTACTGGTCTTGGTCAGCTTATTAAAGAAGAGATGGGCTGGAGAAAAGTAGAAGCAGGAGGTCTCCGCTGGCCAGGACCCGATGTCTCCGTGGCGCTGTGTTGTCCCCGCGAGCTGCCCGTGGACAAGGCAGGACCGGAGCGCTCGGCAGCGCTCGGTGCTGCAGTGCCGGGAGGAGGCTGCGGGCGCCGCTGTTGACCGAGAGGAGCGAGAGGAAGCTCGGAGCGCTGCAGCCCCGCCCGCTGCGGACAGCATCTCTTGCCCGCTCCGTCTCTGACTCGGCAGACGCCGGATTGGGATCGTCCTCGCGGTGCACATCGGTGCTGCAGCGGGGCAGAAGGGCCAGCGGCAGCGGCCGGGAGCGGTGAAAGGGAGAAGAAATTCCAGCAGAAGCGGGAGCCGGAGCGAGCTGCAGATCGGCGGGGAGAACTGCCCGCAGTGTTGCTGTGCCGCAGCGGAGATGTGCGCGGCGGGGAGGCGCTGGGGCCGGCGGCAGCGAGCTCTGCTCTGGGCCGTCCTGCTGGCGGCCTGGGAGGCGGCGTGGGGGCAGCTGCGCTACTCGGTGCCCGAGGAGATGCCCAAGGGCTCGTTCGTGGGCGACGTGGCCAAGGACCTGGGGCTGCAGCTGACGGAGCTTACAGACCGCGACGCCCACGTATTTGACACAGGTAGGACACGGTACTTCTTCTTAGACTTGCAGAACGGCCACTTATCTATGATGGAGCAGGTGGACAGAGAGGAGATATGTGCAGCTGTTGCTAAATGCGTTCTGAACTTTGAAATTCTTGTGAAGCGTCCAATGAACATTTATAAAGGGGAGGTAGAAATACTGGATATTAACGATAATCCTCCCAGTTTCCCAGAAAGAAGTGTCTTAGAAATCAGCGAGAATACTGCACCAGGTGCGCGCTTCCCATTAGAGAGAGCTCATGATCCCGACATAGGAGTGAACTCTTTACAGAATTACGAATGTAGCGAGAGCAGCTATTTCACCTTGGACGTGAAAACCGGAGATGACAGTGTGATATATCCGGAATTAATATTGGTGAAATCTTTGGATCGGGAACAGCAGGCTGCTCATAATTTGATCCTGACTGCCACGGACAACGGGAGTCCTGTGAAATCAGGATCGACAACAATCCAAGTCATTGTGTTAGATGGAAACGACAATGCTCCCGAATTTACACAGTCTGTGTATAAGGTGACTGTGAGAGAAGACGTGGCCGTAGGAAGTCGAGTGCTACAGGTGACAGCGACTGACAGAGACGAAGGGCCAAACGCCGAGGTAAAATACTCGTTCTTTAAAATCCCGGAAAGGTTCGACAAGACTTTTAACATGGATCCGGAAAGTGGAGAAATTGTGATAACAGAGAACTTGAGTTTCGAAGAACACGAGTTTTATGAACTGGTTGTGCAAGCTCGGGATGCGGGCGGGCTCTCTTCCCACAGCAAGGTATTAATCAAGGTCGTTGATGTAAACAACTACGTTCCCGAGATTGTTATTATGTCCCTGTTCAGTCCGGTTCCAGAAGACACACCTCTAGGGACAGTAATAGCGATTTTCAGCGTCCAAGACAGGGATTCTGGAGAGAACGGAGAGGTGCATTGCAGCATCAGCGACAGCCACTCGTTCCGCCTGGAGAAGTCATTCGGTAATTACTACCGTGTGCTGACTGCAGAGCTACTGGACCGGGAAGAGGTGTCGGAGTACAACGTGACGGTGCGGGCGGCCGACGGCGGGTCTCCGTCGCTGCAGAGCAGCGCGGTGCTGGCGCTGCAGGTGCTGGACGTGAACGACAACGCGCCGGTGTTCGAGGAGGCGGCGTACAGCGCGTACGTGTGGGAGAACAACGCGGCGGGCGCGCTGGTGCTGACGGTGCGCGCGACGGACGCGGACTGGGGGCAGAACGCGCGCGTGCGCTACCGGCTGCGGGAGGGGCGGGTGCGGGGCGCGCCGCTGTCGTCGTACGTGTCGGTGCAGGCGGAGACGGGCGCGCTGTACGCGCTGCGCTCCTTGGACTACGAGCAGGTGCGCGAGCTGCGGCTGTGGGTGCT